GCAAGGCGGTGCGCACGGGGGTGCAAAGCCAGGGGCGAGGGTCTGCGGGACCACGGGCACGGGTGCGCACGGCCACGGGCAAGGGTGGGCTGCAGGACCACGGACAAGGGTGTGCAAAACCAGCGGCAGGACGGTGTGCGCGGGTGTGCAAAGCCACGGGCTAGGGTCTGCGGGACCACAGGCAAGGGCGCGCACAGCCACATGCAAGGGCGCCCACAACCACGGGTGGGATGGCGTGCACGGGTGTGCAAAGCCACGAGCAGGATGGTGCGCACGGGTGTGCAAAGCCATGAGCAGGATGGTGTGCACAGCCACGGGCAAGGGTCTGCAGGACCACGGGCAAGGGCATGCACAAGCACGGGAGGGATGGCGTGCACAGGCGTGCACGACCTTGTGTTAAGAGCGTGCAGGACCACAGGCAGGATGGCGTGCGCAGGCACGCACAAGCAGGATGGCGTATACGGGCATGCACGACCACGGGACCGACACACACAGCTGCGTGCAGGATAGCGTGTGAGGGCGTGCAGGGCCGCGGGCAGGAACAGCGTGCACAGGCGTGCATGGCCACAGGACCAACACATGCCACAGGACAGCGTGCGAGGGCGTGCGCAACCACGTGCAATGCTGCGCACGACTGCAGGGACAGGAGCACGCCCAGCGTGCGAGGCTACGCACGCCCATGGGGCCAAATGTGCACAATCGCGTGCGAGACCCCGTGCCCAACCATGTGTGAGTCCATGCACACCTGCATGGCCCCGTGGCCGACACACGTGACCACAGGCGTGACCGCATGTGCGACCCTCGCACAGCAACGCACGTGGCCATGTGCGTGAGGACGGGCGGCCGCCGGCAAGGGCGGTGGCGGGGCCGCGGTGCCCTCACCCCTCCCCGTCCCCTCAGACCCTCCCGTCCCTAACCCCCCGTCCCTGTCCCCGCGGCCAGCTCCTCTCCGCAGCCCCAGCATTAATTCATTAACTGGGGCTTTAATTACGCAGCCGCCCTGGTTAAGGAAGCCGGACCTGGCTGCTGGCGCCTGCCTCAGTTTCCCCACGGGGAGACCCCCGGGGTCACCCCACCCCCATCCCTGGGGTGTGCGGGGGCACGCTGCGGCCGGACTCTGCTGGGGCTGGGGGGCCCCGGGGAAGGGGGGAAGGATGCGGGGGGGCAGCGGCAGCACCGTGGGGTCCCCTCGGGCCGCGGCTGCCGCCCCCCCCGGCGCAGCGGGAAGTAGGTCGCCCGGTGCCCCCCAGCCCCGCGCCTGACGTCAGGGCCCTTTGTCCGGGCAGCGCTTTTGTCCCGGCACCGTGGCCCTGCCACGCGCCCGGCTCCGTGCCGCCGGCGAGGGGCGAGGGGTGAGGGGGGCGGCGGCGGGGGGAGCAGGACCGCGGCCCCCCACCTTCCCACCCTCCTGCCCCCCGAGCCTGGGGGGATGCTCAGGGCCGCGTCTCCATCACCCCTGGCATGGGGCCGGGGGGAGGCAAGACAGAGCCCCCCCCCCCCCACGACCCCCCC